GATTAAAAACCGGCTAGCTGATTGGTCTGAAAAACAACGTCACTGGGAAATCATCAGTGAGCAGGTGCGTTTCCGGCAGGACCCCCAGGGCGCGGTTCTTGGCCCTACACCACTGAACATTTTTATCAATGACCTGAGAGAATACACAGAATCTTCACCGATAAACGTGGCAGATAGAAAAGTGGGGGGGTAAGTAACGCAGCGGACTGGGACAGTGATCCGGATCGGCTGGGAAACTGAGCTCAAGGAAACAACCTGCGTCTTCACATGGCACACTAGGACTGGAAGGAACCTCAGGAAGTCCTCAAGTCCAGTCCCCTGTCCTCACGGCAGGACCAAGCACCATCTAGACCAGTGGTTCCAAACTTTTTGGCATCGCCCCCTTTTTGATTTTTTTGAAAAACTTTCATGCTCCCCCCCGAAAATAGCAGCAAAAGTTGTTGAGCAAAAATAAAAGGAACTGACCGGGGCAGCAAAACTTGATGCAGGGGGGCTGGGTCGCCTCCTGCCCCTGCTGGAATTTCTGCAAGCCCCCCAGTTTTGGAACCCATGATCTAGAGTAGCCCATCCCGGACAGGTGTCTGCCCAGCCTGCTCTGAAATATCCCCAGGGATGGAGATTCCACAGCCCCTCCCCCCCAGGCAATTTATCCCAGTGTTTCACCCCCCTGACAGGCAGGAAGTTTTTCCTCATGTCCAACCTAAACCCCCCTGGCTGCAGTTTAAGCCCATTGCTTGTCCTGCCCTCAGAGGCCGAGATGAACGAGTTTTCTCTCTTCTCTTTCTAACAATCTTTTAGGCACTTGAAAGCTGCTCTCCTGTCCCCCGTCCTCTCTGCTCCACACTAAACAAGCCCCGTTCTTTCAATCTCCCTTCGTAGGTCCCTGTTTTCCAGACCTTGAGTCATTTTTGTTGCTCTTTTCTAAATCCTCTTCAACATCTCCACACTTTTCCTGAAATGCGGCGCCCAGAACAGGTCACAAGACTCCAACCGAGGCCTGATCAGCGCAGAGCAGAGCAGAGCGGCAGAACGACTCCTCGTGTCTGGCTCACCACTCTCCTGTTCATGCAGCCCAGTCGTGTTGGCTTTTTTTGCAACAGCCTCACACTGCTGACTCGTGTTTAGCTTGTGGTCACTCTGACCCCTAGATCCCTTCCTGCGGACTCCTCCCTAGACAGTCGCTGCCCCTTCTGTGTGTGACACGGATTGGTCTTTCCTAAGGGGAGCACTTTGTCTTTGTCTTTATTAAACTTCATCCTGTTGCAGAGCCGGTCTGAGCCATTCTTGCGCCCCGAGCCCCTCCTCCACCTGGCCCGGCAGCACTGCGCGGCGCCTCTTACAATCGAGTGCCCTGGGCTATCACCTGGTCAGCCTGTAGCTTGGGCCGGCTCTGTTCTGTTGACCTCCGACCATTTCTCCAGTTTGTCCAGATCAGTTTGAAGTCTGACCCTGCCCTCCAAAGCACTTGCCACCCCTCCCAGCGTGGTGTCATTTGAAAACGTAATAAGTGTCCTCCGTATGCCATCATCTAAATCGCTGATTGAACAGAACCGGCCCCAAACCGGATCCCTGCAGAACCCCTCTTGTTCTGCCCTTCCAGCATGACTGTGAACCATTGATAATGACTCTCTGAGAATGGTGATCCAGCCAGTTATGCACCCACGTTCTTGTAGCTCTGTCGGGTTGCATTTCCCTAGTCTATTGATAAGAAGGTCATGCGAGACTGTATGAAATGCTTTACTAAAGTCTAGGTATACCACATCCACCGCTTCCTCCTTATCCAAAGAAAGCTCTCAGATCGCTTTGACATGTTTTGTTCTTTACAAATCCAGGCTGGCTGTTCCCTATCACCTTATTATCTTCCAAGTGTTTGGAAATTAATTCCTTAATTACTTGCTCCATTATCTTTCCTGGTGCAGAAGTTAAGCTGACAAGTCTGTAGTTTTGTGGGTTGTTTGTATTTCCCTATTTATAGATGGGCGCTAGATTTGTTCTTGTCCAGTCTTCTGGGATCTCTCCTGCCTTCCATGACTTTTCAGAGATGATAGCTAAAGGCTCAGACACCTCCTCTCTCACCTCCTGGAGTATTCTGGGATGCATTTCCTCAGGCCCTGGTGACTTGCAGACATCTAGCTCTTCTAAGTGATTTCTAACTTGTTCCTTTCTTAATGTAACTTCTGACCCTACCTCCTTTTCTCCAGCATTCACTATTGTAGGTGTCTAACCGCCACCAGACTTCTTGGTGAAAACCGACTGTGACGTTGTGACGGCGCGTTGGGGGTCCCCCATCTCCTGCACCCCGAAATGGCACAAACAGACTGCACCAGCCGGTGGAATTGAGGAAGTTTATTGCCTCTCCAGGATACAGCACAGCACAGATGGAATCTGGTCACAGAGCTGGGCTAGGATGCCTCAGGCCCCCTTGAGATGGGGGAGACTGGGCCCCTAAACTCCAGCCCCTTTCCCTAGGCTATCTCCTCCATGCTCACAGCCAGCCAGCAACTAACCCATGCCCCTGGGGCGGTTCCCCCCTTTACTACGCGGGGACAGCGGTGCTGGTTCGGCCCAGAATGCACACGGCACCCGGCAGCACCCAGCCTCACTGTGGGCAGGTGCCCTAGGTGGCCCGAGCTCTTTCCATGCCCAGGAAGAGACACTGCCCCAGCACAGCCCCTCTGCACTGATACGTCACAGACGTAGTGGGGATACCTTGCTGGTTGCTATGCTGGGCAGTGGGCTGTGGGTGACCTCCACTGGTTGCTGTCTGCAGCACGGCCCAGCAGGGCAGGGGATGAGTCATTATGCAAAGGGGGCTTGGAACCTGTCTGACGAGTTCTGCCCCAGGGAACGGAGCAATGGGAAGAAGGAGAGTGGAGCCCTGGCTGGGGGCAGGGCTGGATGTGAGTTAGTTTCTGTCTGGGAGCATGGAGGAAGCAGCCTAGGGAAAGGCACTGGGATTTAGGGGCCCAGTCTCCCCCATGTCAAGGGGGGCTGAGGCATCCTAGGCCTGCCCTGTACCAGATGACATCTGTGCTGTGCTGTATCCTGGAGAAGCAATAAACTGCCTCTGTTCTACTGGCTGGCGGAGTCTGTCCGTGCCACTTCGGGGTGCAGGAGACGGGGGACCCCCAACGCGCCGTCACACCGACACAAAGAAGACATGAGGCACCTCTGCCATTTCCATCTTTTGCTGTTGTTTTCCCTCTTCGTGGCTCGACATAAACGTCCGCATTTGGGACCAAAGCACTCGGCCATACTTCCAGGGCGGGGGCCTCTCTCCTGGGAGGCAGGGACTCTGAAAAATCGTTGGGGGTCGTGGTGGACAATCAGCTGAACACGCGCGCCCAATGTCTAACAGGGAGAATGTGACCCGGGGATGCACAAACAGGGCTCACCGAGCAGACGCAGAGAGGCTTTCGCTCCGCGCTGGGCCCTGGTGCAACCGCTGCTGGAATCCCATCTCCAGTGCTGGGGCCCACAAGTCAAGAAGGATGCGGGCGAATTGGCGGGGCCCAGAGAAGAGCCTCGGGAAGGGTTAAAGGGTTAGAGACCCTGCCCACGGCGACAGGCGGAAGACGCCCGAGTGTTCGGCCAGGAGAAGGAGTGACGGGATAACAGACTGGAAGTGTCTCCGGGGTGCTCAGATCATTGACAACGCGCTACAGGCGAGCAGAGGCAGCTCTAACGCGAGCCATGGCGGAAAGAGGCACCCTTCCAGCAGGGAGGGGACCTACCCAGTGGAATGGTTTCCCAAAGGCGTGATGGATTCTCCATCGCTGGCCGGGTTTAAATAGGGGGGGGGTTCCAAATTCGCTGGGGCAGGACGCTGGCCTGGGTGCTACGGGCGCTCAGACTAGACACCCGAGCTGGGAATTGTTAAATCTCTGAATTAACGGGGGCTCTGGAGAAAGGGGCCGTCCTGCCTGCTGCGACCCCAAACCCGCGAGGGCAATGAGCTGCCGCCGTGCCGTGCGCGACCGTCTCTTGGGAGTTTGCCTCTTCACCGACAATGGTGCTCACACCCTCCTGCAGCCCCAGTCCTGCCCACTGGCTCTAAAAGGCGGATCCCCCAACAGCTGTGGGCAGAGCGGGGCCTATGACACAGGGTGGGGCTGTACTGACTCTACGCAGCGGAGGAGTCCGGAGCAGGCAAGCGCACGCTAGCTGGCTCCTTACGCACCTGAAATGGGACCCTTTGAAACGGGGGAAGGTACCAACTTCAGCAGCAAGGGGGCCTGGCATGGGGCCAGGGCAGCAGCCGGGCAGCCCTGGGGGCAGATCCCACCAGCGGGGCCTATGACACAGGGTGGGGCTGTACTGACTCTACGCAGCGGAGGAGTCCGGAGCAGGCAAGCGCACGCTAGCTGGCTCCTTACGCACCTGAAATGGGACCCTTTGAAACGGGGGAAGGTACCAACTTCAGCAGCAAGGGGGCCTGGCATGGGGCCAGGGCAGCAGCCGGGCAGCCCTGGGGGCAGATCCCACCGGGCAGCCCTGGCGCCAGGCACACAGGGTCGGGGCGTCCCCACGGCAGCAGTGGGCGCCTCAGCACTGAGCAGACGTTTCCCCGCCTGTACCAGGGGGACGATGCTGACCTGGCCCACGGGGGCTCCTTCCAATTCGCTCTGGGGGAGGGGCCAGGCCAGAGCTCAGTGCCCCTGGGACGTGGCGTGCCCTGCTCCGGAGGCGGAGACTCCCTCCGGCCTGGCACGTGCCCACAGACAGACAGACGGAGACGCTGGACAGACCGGCGCCTCACACGGCTGCTTTCAAGC